TCCCCTTCCCCCAACTCCCCAGCACTGTTCCCATCCCCCCAATTCCCCAATAAAAATCTTTTTTTTAAAATTGTAATACTCATTATATACCGATGACAAAAGATGAATACAAGTCACGTTTGACTTCTGCAATTACAAGAGGTGCTCAAAGTGGTTACCATCAGCATCCAGACAATTCTGATCATGGTGAACTACTGCTTGAGCAACATTGACCAAAGTGTCCACCTGTATACATTGTTTTTGGCACCCCGGTATTGTGAAAGCCAGCACAGATAGTCGGACAAATGTAAGCATATTAATCACAACCATGAGGATATACCATGAGGATATTGGGAATGAAGACTGTCCCAGAAAATCTAAGACGGGGGATATGCCACACTGATATCCCACGATGAAGTAGGCCATGCATGAGAAGTGGTCAGAGATTTCTAGGGGAAGAGCTTGTAGGGAAGCGAGGTGTTCCGTCCTCCTTCACATCCTTTGAAAGTGGCTTCTGAACCTGGGGGAGAGGCCGCCCCTATAACACGCCCATCTTCTGTCTCGCAGTGCTCAGCGGAGTGCGGGGCCGGAGTGCGGACAAGGTCGGTGGTGTGCATGACCAACCACATCAGCAGCCTGCCCCTGGAGGGCTGTGGGAACAACCGGCCCGTGGAGGCCACCCCGTGTGACAACGGACCCTGCACGGGCAAGGTGGAGTGGTTCGCTGGGAGCTGGAGTCAGGTGAGCGGCCAGAACTGAGTATGTCTGCCTACCCCGGGTAGGAGGCAGCAGAGCGAGGAGTTGGGAACCAGGACCTGGTATGTCCTGGGTTTGTATCCCAGCTATGCTACCCATGACCTTGAAGAAGCTGCTTATGCTCTTGGAGCCCTATTTAGTCAACAGTATTTATTGAGCACCTACTGTGTGCTCTTCTGAGCACTTGGGATACATCAATGAGCAAAACAAATATCCCTGCCCTCAGGGAGCTTGTGGTCTAGCATGGTGTCCTTGTCTATAAAATGCTGGTAGTGACAGCACCTGACAAGGTTATTTGTAGAAGAAATGAAGTAATGTATATTAAATGTGTAGTACAGTGAGTGACATATGCTAAACACACAATAAATCATAGCTGTTGCCACTGCTGCTATTAATGTTGACAAAGCCAGTTTTGTCTATATTTGAGTGTCACTAGCAGAAAGATATGATCCAGTTATCCCACATCTGGGTATATACCCAAAGGAAATGAAATTATTATCTCAGAAAGATATCTGTACTGCCGTGTTCAAAGCAGCATCATTCACAATAGCCAAGATAGGGAAACAATCTAAGTGTCCATGGACAGATGAATGGATAAGAATATATTACATTATAAAAAATGTAATATAAAATATATTATAAAATAATAAATAAATATAAAATATATATAAAATATTATATATATATAAAATAGAGAGAGGTTCCAAAAAAGGTGTACACATTTTAAGAAAGGAAAAAACTATTAAAATTGTAATACTCAATATATACCAATAACAAAAGATGAATACAAGTCATGTGTAGACACACACACACACACACACACACACACACACACACACACACAAGGTCCGACAATTAAGTTCGTGAACTTTCCACCATGCACTTACACATTATTCAACCTTAAAAGGGAAATCCTGCCATTTGCAACAACATGGATGAACCTGGAGGGTATTATGCTAAATGAAATAAGCCAGAGAAAGACAAATACTGCATGGCATCGATTATATGCGGAATCTAAAAAAGCCAAACTCATAGAAAGTACAATGGTGGTTTCCAGGGGCTGGGAAGGGGGAAATCGGGAGAGGTTGGGAAAACTTGTACTTATAACATGAATAAGGCCTGAGGATCTAATGTACAGTGTGGTGACTGTAGCTGATAACACTATTGTATAATTGAAATTTGCTGAGCAAGTAGAACTCAAGTGTTCACACCAAAAAAAAAAAAAAAAGTAAATATACTTAACTCAGTGGTGTGCATTCTTTCACAATGTATACGTATATCAAATCATCAATTTAAATATATTATAATTTTATTTGTCAATTATACCTCATGAAAGCTTGGGAGAAAAGAAGCAAAATAGAAAAGGTTGAGGTTGTTCATTATAAAGAACAGATAATACTGAATACTTTAATAAAGAGACTTAATCGATCAATTTTTGTCCTCGCTGTTCCCACATTAAACATGAGCCCCTAAGAAAATGTGGAAAAGATCAGTGCCTCATGTTCCCACCATGATTACCATCAGTATTTGGAGTTCTTGGGCCACTTACCATCTGGCTCCCAGGGCTGGCTGGTTCTCCAAGGACTTTTTGGCTGGTGATCATGATTTACATATTATCAGGACCTCTGGCTCCATATAGAATTTTATTTCTTTTAAGTAGCTTTATACACAGACCCTGAAAAAAGTGAACTGCCTTGTCCTTGTAAATTGATACAACCCTTTGGAAAGCAATTCGGCAATAAAAGTCAAGAACCATTAAAATGTTCATTTGCCCTAACCCAGTCACCCCACTCCTGGGGATTCATTTTAAGGAAATAATTAACAGAAGAAAAAAGGCTTTTCAACAGAGATGCTCATGACAGCAGAACCGTGAGGGATATTATAGTATATCATAACAACTCATTAAAATATTATGTAACAACAACAGTGATAATTAGGAAGACATGGAAAGTGCATATGACATAATGGCAAGTGAAAAACAATATGAAAATCTATGAACCTATGATCTCAACCACTTCAAAGTATAATGGTTTTTATGTAAGCAACACGGGGAAATGTTTTCTTCTCAAATTTCCTTTAATGTTTTATAATACAAACTGTAAAATATAGAAAATTAAGAAAGACAGAAAATTTAAATATGTCCTGTGCTATCCTGGTGGATAGCAGAGTTAGACATGCTTAATCACCTATCCCAGCTCTACTGCTCCTTACCTCTCTGACTTGGGGCAACTCATTTGATCTCTCTGAGCTTGTTTGGTCATCCAAATGTGATGGTAATACCAACTTCCTAGGGTTGTTACAGGTTTTCATGATCCTGTACATATGGGGTTACCCATTGCTTGGGACATGGAGTATACTTAATAAATATTAGTTCCTTTTATTATTTTTCCTGCCAACTGTTTCTATCACTTCACTTGTAATAATGCACCTAGGACCTAAGTCCCAAAGATAATTCAGGAGTGGACTATATATGGGATGCCAGATATCCAAGGAAACTGAGGCAAAGGCAAGAGTCTTATGTAAAAGTGTAATATCAGATCATAACCATGTTGACACACAGTGAAGATAAGGGTGCAATTCAGCTCACATGCCTCCAGATCTCAGAAGAGGGGAGGGGAGCAGGACGCAGGGTCTTGGCTTGTGGGCTCTTATTGACTCCAGACCTGAGCTCAGAGAGCACAGTGGTGTGAATCCTGGTGAAGGCAGCCCTTATTTCTGCTAAGATTAGAAATATGAAATGATTGCCCTGTTGTCCAAAAGGGTCAGAACATGATTGAATGTGAACAGAGTTCTGGTTCTGGATTTATAAGGATGGTGGAGCCCACTGGCAACTCCCTGCCCTGGGAATCGGACATTATCCCCAAACAAAGTGAAATAGAGAATGCTTAGTTATTGAAAGGCAAGTCTTAAACATTAACTGACTTCAGAATATAAAAATAGATGTTCCTTCCTGCCACGTGGGTCGAAGGAGAGTTGGCCTCTTGAACACCCCACCAGCCTGGTCACAGTGACTAGTCCAGGATGGACATGGGACCTAAGCCAAGCCAGACACAGGCCTTCCCTGGGACTCTTATGGACTTACGGGAAGAGACTTCCTGGGAACTGTGAGCACAGGTGCCAGCAGTGGCCATGCTGTGGCTTGTGGAGGAAGCCGGCCTGAGAACACGAGACCTAGAGAACTCAGGGAGTCTTTTCCTCTCTGGAGACAAAGCAGCCCAACTCTTATTCATAAGGCATTCTACCAAGTCTGTTATTCATGCCCAGATGTTTCCTTTCTTCCCTGTCAATTCTGGGTTTACTTCACCCTTAGACTGTCTTAGTTCTGAGGGGCCATTCACAGCCTCTAGTCATGGGGAACAGCCCTCTTGTCTGTCCATGTGTCTGGATCATATTTATTCTCACTGGCATCTGAGTAGACACCTCCACTCTCACCTGGTCTTGGAACAGTATTCCACCAATGGACAGCTGCAAGAATGCTTTATGGGTAGCAGAATGGCTATCACCTCTCAGTGAAGCATTCATCCCTATTAAACATCACCTTTGTCTTCTTTTCTCTATGAATCACATTTTACTGATAATTTATCATTGTTGATTTTCACCTGATATACCTTTGTCAAAGTCTTATATAATTGTTTAAGATATGTCTTTTGTATGCAGGACTGTTTTTGTCTTTATTTTCACCCAACCTGCAAATATCTATTTTTTAAGAATTAAATTTTAACCATTCACATTTATTGTAATAACTTACGTTTGGACTTTTTCCTGCCATCTTATTTTGTGTTTTCTATTTAGTTTTCTATTGCCATGCTTTCTTGGGCTTTTTCTTGGGCTTTCCTTTCCACATATTTGTACCTGTCAGGCTTCTTTAATTCCATTTTTTTCCTCTAACATTTTGGAAGTTATAAATCCTACTTTTTTTTTTTTTTTTTGGTTAGCTGAGCCATCCTGCCACCTGTTGGCGGCTCAGCAGCAGCTCAGCTCGGGCCGGGAATCGAACTGCTGTTGCACAGAGCTCACACACTTGAACGAGCTCTTAATCAACTGAGCCACTCGGCCGGCCCCCTATAAATCCTATTTTTATTCATCTAGTGATAACAGAAGAAAAAAAGATTTAGCACAGAGTTTTAAAATGTTATGTTTCTATTAGTATCAGGTTATCCACATCCTCCCCTAAAAGAAAACAGAAACTTGAAGTCCCTTTTTATTTACCTCAAGTCTCTCAACCTGTAATACCTACAAAAAGAGGTTGAAGTCATCTGAATATGGCTCCATGTTAATGTTAATTAATTTTATAGAGAATACTAATTTAGATTTTAAAATAGCCTCCTCCCCTCCAAAGGTTATTTTTATTGAAATGTAATTCACCTACCATAAAAGTCACACTCTTAAAGTGTACAATCAGTGGCTTCTTTGTATACCCACAGAGTTGTGCAACCATCACCTCTAATTCCAGAACATTTTCTTCAGCCCAAAGGAAACCTCACATCCGTTATTAACAATAGCTTTTACTGGTGTCTTTGCCAACTTCTGCTTTATATCCTGTGGCTTCTTCCTGGTTCTTTTTTGTTTTGTTAGAGACCATAACCCAGTAAATCTTTCTAATAAGAGCCATAGCCATAAGTTTTCTAAGCCCCTGAATATCTGAAAGTGTCTTCATTTTGCCCTTTGCCCTGAAAGCTCCCAGTCGGGGAAGATGCCTTCACTTTTCCTTGGCACAGCCAGGCTCCTGGTCAGTACCTTAGCTGGCCACTCTCTCATTGTCCCAAGGCCTCGCTCCTGCCCCTCACATCTCTGTTTCCATCACCCTCCTCACCTGAAGCACTTGAGCTGTTGGCTAGCGGTCCTCCTCTACGTTCACATTGGACTATGATTTTTCTCATTCAGTTTAGTCTCATCTTTCTTTCACCATTCAGGATTCCCCATAATTTCTGGTTGACCAAGAATGAGTACCCTCTCCTGTTTCAAATACTGTCTCATGCACACACCCATGCACCCCCATACACATTCACTCATGAGTTTCCAGACACCCACGTTCTGCCATTTCTGGGCATTTAGGGTAGGAGAAGGCTGAGATAGGTGCTCATTCTCCCTTAATTCCTAATGTCTTCAAGGACTTTCCAGACATAGCAGAAAATGACTTCAGGTTTTGGTTAAGTTTACGGTCTGCTGTCCTGCCAAGCACTTGGTACAGACATAGCCCCTCAGAGCATCCAAGGGTCTTTCAGATCAGGTTTCCAAACCTACTTCGCAGGTGAGGCAGTAGAGACCTGGGAAAGTGCTATCTATGTCTTGGCCAAAGTCACAGAACTATTTACTGACAAGGTCTGGACTAGTTTCCGGTCTCCTGACTTCAGTCCTGAGTTCTACCCCTGCCAGCCCCGGACCTGTCACACACACCCTCATCCTCCTTTGCCTGGCATCCTGTTGCTGCCCTGCTGCCTCTTAATTTTTCATTGTCAGAAGCACTGAAAAGAAAAGGACAAAACTTAAATGTACACCCAATCAATAACCAACTCACGCATTATGGCGTGCATTGTTTACACCAATGAGAAAGATCACCTCCAAGGTAAACCCATTTCCAAGACATCATGATATACCCTGTACCAACCACACAGATAGAATGCAGTCTGCCTGGGATGCTGGGCTTGGACTCAACCTCCAGCACAAATAAATAAATGAACTAATCGACATGGAAGAAAATAGGAAAAACAAACTAAGAAGGTTTTCTGGATGTCTAGAAGATGATAGAAAAGGAGGCACAAAGTGGAAACTACTGATAGTGACACTTATTATGCCTGCGAGGCTAATTCATTCATAGTCTGTTGGCTTGGGGGTTGTTTTGTTTTGTTGTTGTTTTTTGTTTTTTGTAGAGATGTAGGGATTTTTCCCCTGGTTTTATTTGACCACGTGTCTGCCTACAGAAGTAAAGCTGATATTAAGAGTCCCAGCTATAGACAGTATTACAGGCTTTCCATGAAGAGAGTGGTTTCATTAATAAGAGTAGATAGATCACAGCTTGTACATTTTTTTTTAAAGACTTTCTTGGGGAATCGGGGAAGGGGAACAGATAAGCTGCTGTCCTCTGGTTCTTCAGTCTAGTTGTGGAGGACATCACTTCACTGGCCCATGTTGGTATTATCATTGCGCTCTTCCCGGGTGAGGCAGTCGCTCGCTGGCCATTGGACAGCCGCTCAAAGCGGCTCACAGCAGCTCACACCAACTGCCAGCAGCTCACAGCAGCCCACTGCAGCCCCACTGCAGCCTATGCCGTCGCTGGCGACTCACGGCAGCCCAGCTCCAGGTCGAGCCGTTGTTCACCATCTTAGCTGTAGAGGGCGCAGCGTCACTGGCCCTCATGTGGGATCCGAACCAGGGCCCTGCTGCTCAGAGCTGGCATCCCAAGCCAACTCTTAACCAACACGTCACTTGGCTGGTCCCAAAACAAGAAATATTAAGTAAACCAAACTTGAACAACAAACATTTTGCAAAGTAATAGATTTATGAGCAGTTATATGCATCGTATTTCCATAAACTAACAAAATGCACCGACATGTGTAATTGTCTGACTGGCCTCTGGGGACAACACACCCCAATGAGCTTCAGCACCGAGTCAGGAAGTGAGGGGATTGGGCTCCATGGTGAAAGGCTTCCTGCTGGCTGCCTTTGTAGGAGGGCAGAGTTTACTGTAGGGGGGACCTTGTCCCAAGTCTGGCATGTTCATCTCAGCTTTGTATGTGCCAGAGAATTTTAACTTAGCCCTCATGTACAAGCATGCAGGTTCTGTGAGACTAATTTCATCCCCAGTGTCCACTCACTAAGGAGCCACCTCATAAACTAGACTGTTAGTTCATTCTTTTCCAGTATGAGGTATCAGTGTCTGCTGGACAGAAACCAGCAACATGACCAGCTGGTGTGTCCCTGTCGGGGTGTCTGAGGGGCACTATTCCACTCTCAGCACAGAGGGCACCAGGGTCTCAGCGGCCAGCAACCGGAAGCTGTGGTAACTTGAGGCACCCAGAACTGTTAGGAAAATTGGAATTTGTGGGCAACTTCTCCTCTAGAAACATTTTCTTTTGCCCTTGGTCTCTTCCTCACTGAATTGATGATGGAAAGCACTCGCAAACATCCCTTCGTGGACAGTAGCCCTCATCTCCTTTCCATCACGTGACACCATGTTTCTCTGCTTCCTTCTCCAGTGTTCCATCGAGTGTGGGAGCGGAACCCAGCAGAGGGAGGTGATCTGTGTTCGGAAGAATGCGGACACGTTCGAAGTGCTGGACCCTTATGAATGTTCCTTCCTGGAGAGACCCCCCAGCCAGCAATCCTGCCACCTGAAGCCTTGCGGGGCCAAATGGTTTAACACAGAATGGAGCATGGTAAGTCGGGGTGCTCTTGGGAGAGACTGCATTCGCACATCATTCTTCTGTTTGCCTCCCATAGACATATCTGGGCCACTGCTAGGTACCAGGCACAGGGCTCAGCCTTCAGATAGATTCCCAGCAGTGATCTACTCTAGTTGATCACTGTCTGGGCACCCTAAAGCTATATATTGTATGACTCCATTTACATAATGTTCTGTAAAAGGCAAAACTATAGGGACAGAGACTGGCGTGGCGTGACTCTCACTGCAAAGGGACAGACAAGGGGATTTAGTGTGTGTGATGAAACTTTTATGTAAATGATGATAGCAGAGACAGTGATGGAAGATACACAGTGATGAAAGCTAGATGTCTTTGAATATGCCTTGTTTTATAAATTTGAGGTAAGAACTAAGTAAACATTTTGTATAATTATAAAATAAAATTATTTTAAAAAAACAATCCTTAAAAATGGAAAATGAAACAATTAACCTAAATGTTGGTGGCATAAGCACTATTGAATGTGGCTTTAAAGCACAGTAATTTGACTGACCACCCCTAAGGACAAAAGAACTGCAGAAAAACGTTTACACTGTTTGCAATAATCACATTTTTTGTGATAGTACTGTACTGTATTCTGAGATGGTTGGGTGTATAATGTGTGATAAAGTAAATGAGTAATATACTTTACGATACAATTGGGTTGTCAAAAATGTCATGACACATTTTTGCAATGAAAAACATAGAAAAATATGTCATCCTTGTCCAACAACCCAATATGATAATATATATGATAGCACGCATGATAACATGATAGTATAACTCTATTATCCCCAGTATCCTTGAGAAATAGGAGAAAACTTAGGAGAAAAAAAGATACGGAGAAAAAAGAGGTTTAAGTGAAAATCCTGTTATCCTGAATTTGAATTAGAAATATCAGTATGAACTCATAAATTAACTTATCTTACTCTCTGAGTTTTATCCACTAAAGAGCCTAGAAACAATGACAACCCAGTAGCAAAGGGCATACCTATCAGCCAGATGTGGTTTCAAAACACCACTCTCCTCTGATAGAAAGCAGGAATTCTGAGACAAATGGTTGATTCCGGGTCTGGGACCATATATGTATAAATCAGATTGGAATATCTTTTTATACCAGGCAACAGGAAGTTCTCAAAGACAACTGACTTTATGACCTTAAGACTCAAGAAGCAACTTTTAGAGACTTCTGCTGACCATCAGTAGGACATCAGTGAGCATCACTAAAGTATGAACTACCATAGATTGAATGAAACACGTCATACGTGTTAAATTCATCAACTTACAAGTGTATAATAATAATAAAAAACTAACAGGTCACCATTAAAGGATGTTAGAGGAACCAACTCATTTTCTAAATACTGATAAAAAGAATAATCAAGCATTTACTCTGACTTTCCTAATGAACAAGCTGAACCACTAGGTAACCACAGAGTACATCTATGGCAGGGAGGGGGTGCTTTAGAGAAGATTCCCATCTAATAAAATAGAATAGTAATAGTACTAATTAATACTAATAGTAATAGAATATTATAACCATTTTCCATCCCCTACATGAACTAAAGGGTGTGGGCTTTGCTCACCAGTGGCGGCTGGCATCCCCAAAGAGACACAATCACACACATCCTATGACATAGTCTCACCACAAAAAGTCAAACCTGCACCTGTTGAAGTCCTCTTCTAGGTCCAACTTCCAAATTACAGGGAAGACAGAAGACAGAGGAGCGTGTTAAACTGGGGGTGCAGTTGACACGTGCCATGAGGATGCCGTCAGCAAAGTCCTGCCAACAGGAAACTGCAGGACAAATGAGTCAGTTCCTCCAACACCTCAAGTTGAAGGGGAGAAACCAGAAGAGGGGGACCTATGGATTCGAAGAGTCACGAAAGGCATATCAACCAACTGCAATGTGCAGACCCGATGTGGATCCTGATTTTCCTTAATTATATTAATAAAACCTATGAGATTCACAAGACAAGTGGAAATAAGAACATTGAATATATAGTTTAAAAAATAAGGAACTATGTATTGTTATTCCTAGCTATTGTGGTAATATTATAGAGACCTTATGTTTTAGAACGTCAAACTGAAATATTGTGGAAGAAGTGATATGATGTCTAGATTTGCTTCAAAATAACTCAAAGAGTGGACGTGGGTAGAATAGAGATGGGACATAACTGGCCACGAATTGATGGGTGTTGAAACTGGTTGATAGTTGCATAGGAGTTTGCTTGAATATTCTTTCTCCTCCTAGAGATATTTGAAATGTTCTGATATCTGCCCTCTCCAGTGTGCTGAGCTAATGAGCTGCCAAGAAACCTAACTTTCTCCCTTTGTCCCCAGTGCTCCAAGAGCTGCCAGGGTGGCTTCCGGGTCCGGGAAGTACGCTGTCTGTCAGATGACATGACCCTAAGTAATCTCTGTGACCCTCAGTTAAAACCAGAAGAAAAAGAATCTTGTAACCCTCAGGACTGCGTCCCTGAAGTCGGTAAGTAGGAATTCCTATCTTGAAGTAAAGATTCCTCTCTGCTAACAAGTTCTCAAGGGTGAAAATGTCATGCCTGTCTAGATCTCTCTGTGACCTTGTGCAAGGTCATGGAGTTAAGGGCTCAAAGCACTGTAAGTAGGATACGTTTATAGCACGGATGACAACCCAAGCCACCCACCGAAAGATGAACTTTAGTGTGAATTGATTAAAATGGTAATGCATTCAGAGATTTGGTTCCATCATCCTTAAGGTCAACATAGTGAGATTTCAACTTGATGTTTAAAGAAAAAGAAAACAATGCAAGCCCTTGGTCCACAGGCATACCTCCTTGTGGGTAACAGACAGCAGGACCCAAATGAGGAGCCCAGCCCCGCCCTTTCTCTCTGCAGTAGTCCTGGTGTCCGCCCCGCCCCTTTTGCTCAGTCTTTTGCTCTCTTCTGCTGCAGATGAAAACTGCAAGGACAGGTACTACAACTGCAACGTGGTGGTTCAAGCGCGACTGTGTGTCTACAACTACTACAAGACTGCCTGCTGTGCTTCTTGCACTCGCGTGGCCAACAGGCACCCCGGCTTCCTGGGGAGCAGATAACACTCCTGCACCACATCCATCAGGCAGGTCAGGGAGTCTGCGAGCAGGGTGACCGCCTGGCTGCTGCCCCACCGGGGCTCCCTGGCCCAGGGCGCGGCCGGCCAGCTTGGTCACCACCCTCGCCTTCGGGAAAGTGTACACTTGGTGCCCAGGAGCAGAGCCGCGGCTGTCCTCTGAGTGTCGCCATGAACTGATGATCCCTCCTTGGGAAACCTGACACCTGTAACGGTGCCCTCTGAAAACCAAGCAGTGGGGAGTGCAGGTGGCTCTCAGCCAACTCCCCTGCTGGCACTTTCAATGTCAGCGGTTGGGCCCTGACTGGGCGCTGCCTCAGCCCTGGTGCCATCAGCGTCCCTGGAGAGTCAGAGGAGGCAACACCCCCACCTCAGGGCCCCACAGAGCCCTCCAAGGTGCCTGCATCCCTCTGTTACCTCAGCCTGGTTGTGCTTATCTTCATTCTCAAAGACATTAGGCTGTCTTCCTGCTTATGCCACAAATATCTCCTGTCCATATAGTGCTTTACTGTTTCACAGGTATATTCGCATATATTAACTCATTAGCAGCTCACAATGCCCCGGGATGGGAGGCAGGGATTGAATCGTTGTCCCCATTTTACTGACAAGGAAACTGAGACTCAACTTTGATAATTAACCTGCCAGGTATATTCACCTGCCCAGTGGCAGAGCACAGAACCCTCACCCCGAGGCTGGTGCACACGCTGTAGGTCTGCTGCAGTTTATTTCCAGACCAGGAGGGTGAGAGGTTTCCCAATTAGCGAACAAAACCCAGGTCTTTGAATTCTCTCCTCCGGCCAAAGGTCAAGTCTTTATCCCCTGTATCAGTTTTGGAAGTCTGTTTCTACTTACTCCTTCCCCCACAGTCACAGATCCTAGTCCCCGGACTCTGCAGGATTTGTTAAACCTCATCCTTAAAGGAAACCTCATGTCCCATGACACCAGGAAGCCACTGGGTAGCAAGGCGATTGCCTGAGATTCTGATTCCATCCTCCCGTGCGACATGCTCCCCTGGAATAGCAAGTCAGAGTCCCTTTGGCCACAGAGCCTTCGGTGTCGCAGAGGAAAGTTCTAGAGTTCTGTGTCCCTGCCCCTTCCTCAGCCAACTCCCACCCACCCCCACCCCAGGCTGTTCACCACACATCACCCAGTGGAAAGTCTAACCAACCCACCCCAATAAAAAAAAAACACCTTATGTTTCTGTTAGAAAGAGTCTCCCTTTGGTCTTTCTGGTTTGATTTATGGATTTCTCTCTGTGACTCGCAACCCACGGCCCCCAGATGTGAGCACTGAGATCCATTAATGCAGCCAGACCGGGAGACGGGTTGTGATGGCAGTGACCCATGATGGCAGCAACAGGCTTGTTCCCTGGTTCACTTCACCTACCTCTGTAGTTCCAGAGGCTGGAAGGGGGTGCAGTGCACAGTGAGAGGTGAACTATCTGAAAAATCAATTAAGGAGAAGAAGAATATATAATTTTTTTTCTTTCACTCATTAAGAAAACTATCAGATAAACAAATAGTAAGCTTATTATTACCATGGTCCTGGGCCTGTTTCCCTTTTTAAAGTAAGCCTAGATTCTTAGCAATTGAGTTTCTCCCCTGAGCCCTTTAAACCAAAAATCTGCTAATTTGATGATCATTTGCAGCTTTGGGAAGCAGTATCACCTGCCTGATCTGACACTCCAGTAGGTTCCCACTACCCTTGAACTTTCAGAAATTCTATTTGGCTTTTCTGTAGCCATCCTTCTCTTCTGGAGAGCCCCCACCACCACTTCCCAGAAGCACCCCAACTTTCCTGATTCTTAGGGAGCTCGTGCAGAGAAGCAGGTGGGAAGAGGCCCAGATTCCCTGCCCACCAAGCATATCAGTGGTTTCGTCTCCAGTGCCCACCACCTTCCTTGCACTGCTTCCTTTTGCTTGTAGTCCCAAGCGGAGCTTTTCTTTTATGCAGTTGCTCTCAGATCTTGCTGAACAAACCAATCATTTGAAGGAGTCCTTGAAAGAGGCTTTCTTTACATGCTGGAGAGCAGGGCTAGATCAATGGGTGGAAGAGCAGAAAGCAGAGGCCTGGCCACCATCCATGAGTGCAGTGCTGTCCATCCTAAATTGGATTTCTCCATCACGTGGGACGTGAGCATCCCAACTCGGGAGTGGCCCTTCCAACGCAGGAGTCTCATGACCATCTATCTGGTCGATGATGACTTTGTCTTTTTGACATCTAACAGTGTTCTGTGGCTCCCAAATGTTACCTAATAGTTCTTTAACACGACAGTGACCCTCCCGTGAGAATGGCCATCCTGACACTTGTGGAATTGAGTAAGGTGCAAGTGGGTCGATCCTGTGACTTCAGGGGGAGGGGGGGGTAGTACGTAAACTAGGGTTTTTTTTCTCTTCCAACAAATAGTTGAGCTATTCTTGGAATTTATTCATCTATGGAAAGCTTATAAATTACTACACTGGGTTTTATCAAGTTATTTGTCTTAGAGACCCAATTTTCACTAATTTCCTAGCTTCTTTTGTCAGCATCTAAATATCTTTGTCCTTAGCACAACACATACAATACAGTCCTTTGGTATTTCCGGTGATAACTTTCCTGGGGTGGGAATCTAGGAAAGCTCACATTTTGATGACTCCCTCCCTCCAGATGTGTCTCGTTCTCCCTTTCTCGCACCCCACTATTTCACCTTCTCTTTCCCATTACCTGCCATCCCCCCTCAGTGTCTCTGTAACCGTCCATAATGCAAAATTGAAATTTACATTTGATACTGTTGTTGTTTTTCCTGCGTAGGGGATTGCCTCATTCCCTGTCCTGAATTTTAACATTAGGTGAATGTAAGCTGTTACGTGTTTTTCTCACAAAAATCAACAAAGCGCCAAAAGGAAACAGTTTGCTTTTTCACTTTCACTTATTGGAAAAGGCAGTTGTGCCCCTTGCAGCTTAAGCAAAGGCCACTTAATGTCCCCAGGTCTTCCCTTTCCCATGCTGACTTGCGTTTCTCCTCCTAGAAAAGGAATCGCATGAAGAATATGACGCTCTGTGAGCCCTGCCACTCAGTTCAGTTCCTTAAACTCATGTTTGATGCCTCTGCTGGCCAGCTAGAGGGGGACCAAGAGGAGCAAGGTCTGTCTCCGCCCCCAGGGACCTGCCGTGTGACAGGAGCTCACAGAACTGTCCCCGTCTGTCCCTTTGCCTTACTTCTCTGGTCCAGGGTTGAGTTTTTCTTTTTTTATTTCCTTGAATATGGATCATTCACTTATCCTCTAAGTGTTTATTTAGCATTCAACACTCTTTTTTTTTTCCTTTAAAACAAACGGCTTTACAGAGGGATGAAAAATGGGAAATAGAAACGTAATTTATTTTCAAGTTATGTGGCAGAGAGAGAAATCCAGATATTACTAATATTACTAGTACCTTTCTTTTCTTTTTAATATGGCCATTTTAGAGTTTAAATATCAGTTTTCTCGTGTGGAAGAAGACACAAATAGAAGTGGTAAAAAGAAACAGGACTTCCCTTAAAACAGGCTTACTAATCAAACCCAAAGGAGCCTGGCTTGGCAGGTGAGAGCCCACTTTTGAGCCATATAAAACATTTTTAATACGTCTGAAGTGGGAAAATAGGTGCCTTCCTGATGAAATTTGTAGATGACATGAAGTTAGAGAGCTAACAGCTAGGGTAGCAGTTTCTGTATCCAAACAGATCTGGGAGACTATTCACCAACATAAAGTCTTACCTTTGGGTTTAAAATTATACACTCACATACACACACACACACACACACACACACACACAGTACAAATTCGGTAAGATGTAAGAGTTTGAGCTGACTAAGCTTAATGCGAGTCAGGAAACTGGGCTGGAACCACCAAAACAAAAGGAGACGCAAAACATTTAGGCTATATGAGGAGAAAACATTGGTGACAGTCAGGCCACACTGTGCTGGCGATTGTGGGAAACTTTAAGAATACCGAGCGTGTGTAGCATTCAGATGAGGGAGCCCAGCCCTGATGAGGGGAGCAGACTGTCGGAAACAGTGGGAAGGACTTTCTGAGAATGTTTAGCCCAGAGAAGAAGAGACTTGGGCTAGCACCAGGACAGCCATCCTAGGACCAGGAGCTAGAAGCTACAGGGAGACACATTCTAACTCTTGCAGAGGAACGAACTTCCTGCAAGTTAGAGCATTCGGAAGGTAGAGGCCTCTCTGGTCCGTAGTGACTGACCCACCACTGGAGGTCTCAGCAGAGGCTAACGGGCCATTTGTCAGGGATACTGCAGAGGGGATTCAAGCACCCAGCTGTGGCAACATCACTTTTGCGCTCCTTTGCGAGTCTGGACCTTGGTGACTGTGTAAGTAGAACAGATTTAAGTGACTCGCCCGGCCTAGGATGGCGAGCGTGGGCACGCAGACTTCCCAACTCTGCGTCGGCCATCTTGAACCCAGTTTTGCCCACCTCTCCTGAACTAAATGTGGCTGGGAGAGAACCACTAGCAAATTGGTCGGAGCTGCCCTGTCTGGTCCTGCTTTGTAGATGAGTAAACAGATGCCCCATGGCTAGTTCCCTGCCCGGGGTCACACACCTCAATGGGGGCAGAGCCTCGACTAGACTAGGACCCCCTAATACCAACTGTCTCTCAACGCACCTGGCTTTCCTGCACCTTTGCTGGGGCAAAGGAATTCTCTCCACCCTGAACCATCCCACAGTGCTGGTCCTATTCAGTGGGTTACCGTGGGAGACTCCCATCGTGCTGAGGAAAAGTAACCATGACAACGTGGGAACTTCCGATTAAATTGCTCAGCATCTCCCAGAGGCTGAGCCCTTTGCCACAGTGAGAGGCAAGCCATTCTGTTAGGTAGCTAGGATGACTTCCACCCGCCTCGACCCTCAGACCCCCAGCATTCAGTTTGACAGAAGGATATACTTTGCTATAACTTATTATTTGTTCTTTGTAAATACAAGATGTTTATAGGAAATGTGTATTCTGATCTCTATTGGCAGAATGAGTCACTCCACCAAAATAGTTCTATTATTTAGAATGCGTTAATTTTAAAAGGGACCTAATAGGTATTTATTTACATACATGATCTACATTTGTGTGAAATCATTTGATCCTACTAACCCAGCTTCCTGAAAAGTTGCTACATGATGTGTTATTCTAAGTCCATAGTTACAGTTTAGTATTCTGATTAGCCAGACTCCTTGGGTTTTAAGATTGAATGTAAATTACTCTGCTTTTCGACTTGTTCAGTGGCTTTTACCCCCCAGCGTTGCACCTGAAACAGGTCTGCCTGGATTGCCACCTTTCCATCTTAACTGTCATATTTGCTCGTATAATCTGCCTCGCTTCATCCCCAAACATTTGGAGAAGGAAGTATAAGGGTCTTTTTCATTTCTTCTCTTTGTCTTGGCTCCTTCGTCTTGGCCCCAGCAGTAAGTTCCAGCTGAGGTTTGGTTAGAGCTGTGGATGAGACAGGGTCAACTCACATGGGCAGAGGGGGTGTAAAGGGATGTAATGCATTTACTGCTCTGACCATGCCTCCAAGGTCCCCACTGGGGACTGCTGAAGTGGGAGCTCTGTGTCGTCCTGTCACCTAACTGCATAGTCAGGAGCAAGGCACCCACTGAATACCCTATCGACTCCATGTCACCCCTGTGGTGGTAAATTATTGTTTAAGGGGGTGGAGGGTAGAAGATGAATTATATGCATAAATACAGTCTGTTTTGTCTTCAGCAAAAATGACAACTATTTTTGTGTATGACTAATTTATTTTTATTATTGTAAAAATACAATAAACTGATTAAAAGATCAGCTTGGTTATCACATTTGTGCTTGCTCAGGCCTTATTCCATTTGGGCTCATGTTGCTTCAAACAGCCCCCTCTAAATAGAAGAGCCGAGCCCTTGAGAGGCGGCGGGCTTGTCGGACTCGGGCTCTGGGTGGCTGGGCCACTTAGAGAACAAGGACTGTCCTACACACAAGTAACATTGGGCTGTTGGTGCCTGCAGGTCTTCCACCTTGGCGGTATGTCAAAATCACTAGAGGAGCTAAGATCAAATGTTCAGACACATGCACCACCCCGAGGGCACTTTCACAAGTATTTCTTTAAACCTCCCGCAAGCGGGAGAAAAGGTGGAGTCCCATGTCCCCATTCAGCATGGTTCCATCTCTCAACTTGACTAAAACTTCTTCCAACTCCCCTTGAGTTGACTTCACCTTGCTCTTGAGTTTAGCAAAGTGTTTGGCAAGATCTTTCAGGTTATCTTCTTGCATCATAAAGTGAAGTATGACTTGGGTTCTAATGTCTACTGAAAGGTCTCCTGACTAGAGAGTCCTCAGTGGAGTACCTGTGAGCTCTGTCGAGCATGGCAGTTCCTCGGCAACTTGCAGAAGCGTATTATTTATTATGCCCGCAATGTGCTTCCCACCCCTCCCAACCCACCCTTTCTGCCTGGAAAATTTCCATTTATTCTGTCTTTTTTTTTAATTGTGGTAAAATTCACTTCACATAAAATTCACTATTTTAACCGTATTAAAGTGTACGATTCAGTGTTATTTAATATATTCACAGCATTGTACAACCAGCCCCACGATATTTTCACTACCCCCGAATTCCGTTTATTCTCCAATGCCCAAGTCAGAAGGCGGCTGTGCGCCAGACACCATGCTGAGCATGCTCACACACCCACCTTATTACATCTGCACAGCAGACCAAGGGAGTCGGAGTATTATCCCCTCCGATAAGCGAGAACACTGACACTCAGTGAGGCATCCTCTCCAGCTATCACTAGGGTTCTACAGCCGGCTTCCCCTGGAGGCCGCCTGTGCCTCTCCCATATCCATCTCCCCAGGGCCTGGCCTGTTACACGTTAGCATAGCCAGTGCCTCTTTCTCCACGTCAGTTCCCAGTGATGGACAACAGCTGTACAAGGACTGGATGGGGTGCTTAGCCACTGATGAGACGTCTGGTGCTGAGTATGACTGATCTGATTGCAGGCTGCATTTGATCTACAACTTCCACCTGGGGGGGGGGCAACAAGGCTCCCCTATTCAGGGGCCCCCAGCTGGAGCCCTCAGCCTCCAGTTCTAGGAGCCACAGGCCATACAGGTTGATTGACCACCAGGAAAGAGCCCAGAGGATGATGACTGGGGGGAGAGGGGGGTTGAGGAGGAACTGTCCTCAACCCTCTTGTGACATCTCAAGGATTATCAGAGACAGACCTGAGGCCCTACAGCAGATCAGCAGCGAGAAAGGGCAGGGAGCCAGACTTGGTCCAAAATAAGACATCCCCATAGTAGAGAGCCTTAACAGCGAGAAAAGATATTTTGAGAGACAGATCGTCAAAAACCAGTGATCAGGAACATTTGGGCAGAGGGAAAATTTGAATATGGACTATAAGATGACATCGTTGAATCCATGTAAAACTCTTAGGATGTGATGAAGTGTTTGATCAAGCGGGAGTATGTGCCTGTGCAGTATCTAGGGATGACACTCATGTCTGCACTTGATTCTCACATGGGTCAGCAACATTGCGTGCGTGTGTGTGTGTGTGTGTGTGTGTGTGTGTATGTGCACGCGCGTGCGTGCGCAGAGACAGAATGCATGAAAATAGAGTAAAATAAACCTTGGCGGGTATTAATGACAGGTATGTGGTGTTCATTGTACGTATTCTATGTTTTTCTGAGGTTTGAAATTTTCTAAAATAAAAAGTTGGGGGGATAAAGTACAAAAAGAGGATAGGGAGGAGGAGAGCTAATTTTTTTTTGATTGTCTAATGGTAAGAACCTCTCGTCAGTGGCCCAGGTGTGCAAGCCTCCCAGCAGCAAGCAGACGTCTAAGTGGCCAGCCCAACACCAGGAGGTCCTTAGTGTCATTCATTTATTGAGCACCCACTATGTGCCTAGTACCTTTAGTTCCTTTACATGATGTAGTTTAATCTTCACCACTCTTAAGAAATAAATACTTTACTTTGTGGCCATTTTATGGATAAATAAATTTGAGATTCAAGGAGAATAACTTGACCAAGGACACAGCTGTTACGCGGCAGGTCCTGTCTTGGATTTTTATTCAGCCTCCTTGTGTGGTGACATCAGCTGACACTTTCTTTTTAAGTGATGCTGGTATTCTTGTCTTCAGTTGTTTGGCTGGCGGTGGGGACCAGGCACTGGTATTCCTGGTACTAGCAGGAAATTCTCGCTGGACCTGAGACCCACCGAGAAGGATGCTCTCACTCTCTCAGGTGCATATGAACCAGCTGGGGTCTTGTTAAACGTCAGATTCTGATTCGGTGTCTCTGGGATGGGAACTGAGGTTCTGCATGTCTAACAAGCTCCCAGGCGAAGCTGATGCTTTGAGAATGAGGCCCTTAAATTAACCCTTTAAGAAAGTTGCAGGGCTGGCTCAGTTGGTTAAGAGCTCGCTCAAGAGTGTGAGCTCTGAGCAACAGGGTCGCCGGTTTGATTCCCGGCCACTGAGCTGCCAACAGGTAGGATGGCTCAGCTAAAAAAAAAAAAAGTTGCAGGTTTTCTTGTTTTTATTGAAAAGTTGAGCAAAGGACTGCTGCAATTCTTTGAAAACAGTCTTCCATAATGTTTAGTTAGATTCTTGGACTTACGTTCCCAGTTTATCCCTTTAACCAATGAAACATAGAGACTCTGGAGCTGTTTGACATCTTTGTACACACATGTCACACATGATTTAATTTTTTAACCAGGTAATCTGTGTATCAGCCAAGCTTTCATTTGGCCACATTTCAAAGAAAATCTGACTACACTGATGCAGAGATTTGTTTACCTTTTATAATGAGAAGCCTGGAGGAAGGCAGTTGCTGGCATCGGTTCAGCAACTCAGCACGTTCAGGGCCAGTTTCTCTGCAGTTCTCTCAGCCCCTTCCTCATGGTTGCAAGACAGCTTCTCCTGTTCCAGCTCTCACATCCATCTCCAGGGCAGGAAGGAAGAAGGACAGTTGCAGCTACATTTGTCTCCATTTCCTAAGAAAACAAACATGCTCCTAGAACCCTGTTCCATAGCGAACTGACGTCCACTTAAATCTCAGTGGCCAAAATGGGTTTCATGGCCATCTAGCTGCAAAAGGAGTTGAGAAAATAGAGAAAGGATTGTCATAGTTAGCTTGGACTAACCACCAGTTACTGGACACACAGCTACCCTGAGCTCAGTGGGTGAGAGAAGCAATGATCATTGTACCCTTAGAGAGCACAGACTTCGAGATAGGATCAATGGAAGTCCAAACAGTGAACTGTCTGCTCATCTGTGACTGGTATTTTGGGGAACCACTCCTTAAAACAGGTTTCAGCTGTACATCTCCCTCTATTCAGAGAATATTTATTGAGCACACACCATGCGCCAAACATTGTTTGGGGCTTTGGGGATACATAAATCCAGTGGGCTCTACAAAATACTGTGCAAACTAAAACATGTGCAAATAGGGGGACCCCCAAAGGGGCCAGACAGAGTGGATGCATCCAGGCTTCTGAAATGAATGGCGGGTAGATGGACATCATATCTGTCTCCCCATTTCTGATAACTGGGATGGACAGCACTCTGCAGGCTATATTTCCCACCAGGCAGTCAGGGAGCTCACACCTGTCATGCCCCCTCTGAGCAGGATCCGCTACGTCTCCTGAGCCTCATCACTACCTGAAAGCTGGGTGCTCTCCTCTCCATTTTCTAGCTGTGAAAGCCAGGTCCCGGCCAGGTTAGGAAACTGACTTGTGCTCACACAGGTCATCAGTGTCTACGGAATTCCAACCCCTGTCGGTCTAGTTTCAAAGCTTGTGTTTGCTCCTCTGGATGGCACTGCCTCCCCAAAAGAATAAATCCATACACAGAGCAAAACTCCCTTTAAAACTAGACTTAAGCCAGAATTTACTCCCTGAGTAGGTTCTATGCATTACAGCAGATGTTGATGACTATGGCTTCACAAAGATTCTCTGGATTAAGGTGAGAGCCCGAGGGCAACTCTTTTTTGATATTTACACACACACACACACACACACACACACTTGCCTCCAGGGAAAATGCATCAAGGAGCCACCTCCATTCACCTTTGGGTCCTGCTTTTTTGTATGTGAACTCCAAAAAGTGGTTTTCCTAAGCCCAGAGTCAATCTTGTTTGATGGCTGGTCAGGGTGCCAGGGAGGACAAAAGCAATGGAACTCTAAGGATCAAGTGTGCTTGAACTTGATACCAAAATCAACCTCTACTCTCTCACCCTGAAAACAACTCTTGGGTCCTTGCTCCACCTGGGCCCAGGACAGTCTTCCCCATCTAACTTCTACTTTCGTCTTTGCCTGTGGCTCACCTGAGCTCAGACCCATGCCCCCTCACACCCAATTTACACTCTCAGGTAATGACCTTGTTTGTCTTATCTATTATAACAAACTACTTCCAAAACTTAGTGTCTTAAAACAACAACCATTTTATTATCCTCACGATTCCGTGGGTCGGAAATTCAGTCAGGCCACACCGGGCACAGCTCGTTTCTTCTCCAGGTGATGTCCACTGGGGCTAGACCATCCCAGGTGGCTTCTACACTCACAGCTGAGATGGCGGGAATGGCTTGCCCAGGGTCCTCTATCTGGGGCCCCAGCTCTCACTGTTGGCTGAGTCCTGGCTTCCCCCACATGTAGTCCCGGGGCCTCTTCACGTGGTCTCTCCTTATAGTTTGGGCTTCTCAAACATGGCGGCTGGAGGAGAAAAATCGCACAACAGAAAGGAGAAAGCTGCCGGATCTCTTAAGGCCTGGGCTTGGAAGCACCAGACATCACTTCTGCCTCATT